CTGAAGCGATTTGTCGCAGCGAATTCGGGCTGTGATGAAGCAAATAAAGGCCCGACCAAGTAACTAATTATTTAGTAGCGTATCGTAAATTAATAAATAAATTAATAAATTTTTTTAATAAACTTTAAAATTTTAAGCTTTACATTGAGCCAAAAAGCGTTCGGAGACTTTTGGCGGGGGTCTGTATATAAAAAAAAATTTTTTATTTTTTTATTTTATGATTCAAAAACCGGTTTTTATGTACAGTTCATTAGCAAATGAATATTTATTCGAAGTCGATACAGCTAATTATTATTTTTTTTTTGCGGTCTGATTCTAAATCGCATCTCAGCATGTTGCTAAAGTCAACTCAATTTAAAATTAAACCAGGTAAGAAAATTGTAAAGTTAAAAAAGACGCGTTTTACATATTCAAAAAATGAATGATTCTCAGCTATTATTTCACCTTTTAGTGTTGTTCCAGAAGACTTTCCGCGCGATGTTCCTGGGAAGAAGGACTTAAGATTGGTTTTCAAAAATTAAAAATAATTTTTGTAAGTAAAAATGAATCGTCGCGCTCATTTATGGTAATAAATCGGATTGCTGCGCCGCGCCTTATAAATATATTTTTTCAAGGAAGTAAAATTACTTTTCCATGTTTCATTTTTTTCTTTAATTTTAATTAAATAATTTGCCAAAGTAAAATAAAAGAAACATAACGAATAATGTAAATACAAGACATAGCTCATTTGATTCTTCTCGAATTAATTATCCGGAGTGTAAGTCTATAATTGTAGAGCACTTTACGATTTTGTGGTAACCCATGAAATTTTCCTTCCATCCGCTGACGTCAACTCTGTAATTACCCCTGCTTATTCCTTTTTTATTATGTATCACTTTTTACTTTTTTGTACCACAAGAAATTTATTAAAAAAAAAAACTGTTGATTTTTATCAAAATTAAATAACGCGACGGACTTCAACGGTTTCCGTTTTCCTAGTTATATTCCAGTAGCACATATCTTTTAGCTAAACGTTAATGTTTATTATATATAATATAGAATTCACAGATTTTCTCGTATTCCATCAGTAATACAACGAAAAGGATTTTTTATTTTTTTCCAATGACGTGAAGTAAAAAGCTAGCCGTGCCAGCCGAAATTTAATCTTCGCGATTCAAGCTGGCCAACTACTACACTTTCTATTTATAAGAGCTAGCATATTTTTTTAAAAAAAAAAAATTTCGGTAAAATTAAATTTTAATAAATATTTTTATTAACTGCTATATTTTAGGTTACTTTCATTATTAAGTAAAAACTTTATTTCTTAAACTCTGTTTGAATTCTTCTTAATATCTTGTAAAGCTTCTTCACTTAGCTTATTAATGACTTCATCATCAATGTTAGAGTTATTTAATGGTATGCCTTTGTTTATCTTCTTTACTTAACCTTCGCTTAATACTTGTTCTCGTATTTCTTTCTTTAACTGAGCATTTTGATTAGCGACTTCATTTTTAATATCTTTTGAAAGTTCTTGTCTAAGTTGTTGAATTATATTTTCTTCTTGTTGAGGAGAAATAACAACGTAATTCTGATGATTTCTTGTAGAATTACTTTCAATTTTTTGATCATTATTTGAAATCGATATCTCTCTAGGAACAGATGGTAATGCTTTATCTTTAAAAGTAACAACGTGCTCATAATTGTAATTCTGATGATTTCTTGTAGAATTACTTGCAATTGTTTGATCATTATGTGAAATAAATATTTCACCAGGAGCAGTTGGTAATCCTTTACCTTTAACTGATCCAGCAATTGGCATTACATTTTCATAATTTCTAGGAGAAAATATGGTGTTCTCCATTTTCTGTTTATACTTTTTAAATACGAATAAATAAATTATTATCAAAATAATGACTCCAAATATTCCTCCTACCACTGAACCGGTGATTAAACTTGTATTATTGTTTTCTAATGCTTTAGCTTTAGGAGATTTTACTGGAGTTGGAGATGCTGCAGGTGTTTTTGCTGTAGCTGGTGCTTTTCCATTTGATGGTGCTTTACCGTCAGGTCCTTTACCTGGTGCTTTACCTGGTGCTGGTGCTTTACCGTCAGCTGGTGCTTTACCATCAGCTGGCGCTTTACCATCTTCTGGTGCTTTACCATCTTCCGGTGCTGGTGCTTTACCGTCGGCTGGTGCTTTACCATCTTCTGGTGCTGGTGCTTTACCGTCGGATGGTGCTTTACCATCTTCTGGTGCTGGTGCTTTACCATCGGCTGGTACTGGTGCTTTACCGTCAGATGGTGCTTTACCATCTTCCGGTGCTAGTGCTTTACCGTCGGATGGTGCTTTACCATCTTCTGGTGCTGGTGCTTTACCGTCGGATGGTGCTTTACCATCTCCTGGTGCTTTACCATCTCCTGGTGCTTTACCATCTTCTGGTGCTTTACCATCTCCTGGTGCTTTACCATCTTCTGGTGGTAATTCTTGATTTAAAGTTAAACCCTTATCATCGTGAATTATAGACTCTCTTTGATAATTTTTTATAAATTTTTTTGGACTAATTGTTTGAGCATATAATAATTCAATTTGTACAAATTGAGTTAAGATGAATAAAAATAAAAAACTTAGACCGATCTGATTCATTATATGATATAAAAAATTGAGAAAGTTTGAAACATTATCTGAATGTGCATATTTATATTTGCTCTTTATTTTATTTCTATTTTAATCTGAATGTAACGTTTATCAATAATGTCGGTTTTATCCGTTAATATGAAACACCAAAATTTGTACGCTTTCATTTGAATAATAATATTAATGTTAGGATAAAAAAAAATTTTTTTTGAATTTTCAACGAGATAACGACGAGAGAAATTTGTTTATCGATTTTTTGTCGAAAAAAAAATTTTTGATTATGAAACTTAATGATCGAATCCAAAAATATTAATAAAAACTCATCATGAAATGAGATTCAAATAATAATAATAATAATAATAATTATTATTATTATTATTATTGTTTTGACATGAACTAATTATTAAGAATGTCATTTGTTTTGGGGAGAAGAGAAAAAGAGTTACTAACAAACCAATTTAAAATTCATTGTGTACTTAAAGGCGGATTGTCGCTTCATTTCAATTTATTGAACTTGAACTAAATACTTTAGTCATAACTATATGATTTAGAACTATTATTTTTACAAGAATTTAGCAAATTAACGATACTTGCACTACTAATAAAACATATACTTTTAGATTGATTTTTAGAAATACTGTTGCAGTCATAACTTTCAAAGTTTTCATTAAAAAAAAAATTATTATTACCGTTGAAAACGAAAATTCTTGCTTGAAAGCTTTATATATATTACTGATAAAAACATTATTAAAGTTTTACAGCGAAATTTTGATTATATACGTCTACTACAAATAATAGCAATAGTTGTCGTTTGGTTACAAAACATTAACGTTATTAATTAAACAAAGTAATTAATTATGTATGTAATCAATAAATTAGACTTTTTTTAGCTCATTAATAAGAAATGCTTGCTTTTCTGAATTTATATTATAAAAAAGTTTTGACTAATAAGTTGATTGCTAGTTCTATGAATTTACGTTCGTTCAAAAAAAACCTAGTTTTATTTTTCAAAACTTGTATTAAATCTATTAAAATCAATGTAAATGTTAACATTTGGAACCTACTTATTATTATTATTATTATTACGTTATTTGAGAATCTAACTTATTTTAATATTAAGTTATTTCATTACTAAGTAAAAACCTTATTTCTTAAACTCTGTTTAATTTCTTGCTTAATATCTTGCAAAGCTTCTTCTCTTAGTTTATTTATGACTTCATCATCAATATTAAGGATACTTTCGTTAGAATGATTTATATCATTCTGTTTACTTAAACGTTGTTTTATTACTTGTATTTCTTCTCTTAGCTGATTTAATAAAGCTTTTTCATTCGATGAATCATCTTGTTTAATATGATTAGCGATTTCATTTTTTATATCTTTTGAAAGTTCTTGTCTAAGTTGTTGAATTATATTTTGTTCTTGTTGAAGAAAAATAACAACGTAATTCTGATGATTTCTTGTAGAATTACTTGCAATTGTTTGATCATTATTTGAAATAAATATCTCCCTAGGAGATGTTGGCAATTCTTTATCTTTAATTGATCCAGAAATTGGCATAACATTTTCATAATCTCCGGGAGTTAATATAGCGTTATTCTTCATTTTTTGTTTATACTTTTTAAATACGAATAAAGAAATTATAATCAAAATCATGACTCCAACTATTCCTTCTATCACTGAACCAGCGATACCATCGGCTGGTGCTGGTGCTTTACCATCATATGTTTCTGGTGCTTTACCGTCGGCTGGTGCTGGTTCTGGTGCTTTGCCATCAGCAGGTGTTGGTGCTTTGCCATCAGCAGGTGTTGGTGCTTTGCCATCAGCAGGTGTTGGTGCTTTACCGTCGGCTGGTGCTGGTGCTTTACCATTATCTTGATTTAAAGTCACACCCTTATCATCGTTAATTATAGTCTCTCTTCGATAATTTTTTATAAATTTAATTTGACTGGTTGTTTGAGCATATAATAATTCAATTTGTATAAAGTGAGTTAAAATGAATAAAAATAACAAAATTAGACCAAATTGATTCATGATGATAACTAAAATTGAGTAAAAGCAAATAAAATATGCATATTTATATTTGCTTTTTGTATGATTTCTATTTTAATATAAATGTAACGTTTATCAACAAATATAATATTTTTTGTGTTCGGCAGATTTGAATACGGAAATTTGTTGAGTAATAGAAAAAAAAAAAATAAAAAAAAGTGTAAGAAAGTGATATTTTTGAAATTCAAATAATTTATTTTATCGAAAATATTCAAGGGATATACTATACATATCTTTTCTTTTCGTATAATATTTTGTTATAATTGTTTTAATAATATTAACCTTTTTGTTTGACTAAAGTATTTTATATCATTTTATCCTTTCTGAATCTTAAAGGCATAATTAATAGTTATTCGGCGAATAACTATTATATTGGGTAAATCAAATTTGATTAATTGATTCTAGGCATATAGATAGTGGAAGTGCCGAATAAGTGATTTATTGCAAGTTCAACATAGAATACATTTCATTCTTTTATCATAAAATTTTAACAGACTGACTTTAATTTATATTATATAATTATCTAACAGGTTTAGCCAAAGGCTTCAAATTTAATAAAGAGACGATACCTATATACCATATTATAAATAATCTGTAATAAAAATATAGTTATCCTATAATTAATAATAGAGTATTTTTTTCTATGCACCTGAAAATACAGGGATGCATATATTTTATAAGCGTGTTAAATGCAAAATTTTAACACATGGCATAAAAATTTTATAAAATTTTATTAAAATTTTAACAATAAAATTACATATAAAACATTGCTATAAACTAACGATTAAAAATTAAAAATTACAAAAATATTTTGGCAACGAAGGGAGCCATTTTTGATTTGGATTTGATACATATTATTAACAAACTGCACTTATTTTTGATTTTGACTATTACAGCTTATTAGATTGAATTGAATTCACCTTATAATAAACTTTTTTTGTTATATTTTGCCTTTAACATACACTTTATATGTAGCTAATTGTTTTAACCGACCATAAATATACATTCATTGAATATACAGTATCTAACATAGGCATTGTAAATGCCTTATTTGCTTCTAAATGACATGATGTAAGATTGCTCATTAAATCATTAAATAGACTAGTGATATAAATTATAGGATTTGGATTTCATTTTGATAGGTTGGAGGATATTAACATTTACTTTTCTTGATTATTATACATTCCTTGGCATCGACATACTATTGTCTGCTTTCTCCTTTTGCCTTCAACCTCCTTTATGAAAACCTTGTTGGTGTGCCTATATTTTGATATATTAAATGCAGTCTTTAGGTAAGGAAAGTTAACACAACTTCTAGTTAAAGTCAAGAATCCACTGTATTACTAATCATAACTAAATCACTATCTTCTGGAATACTTCAAGAAAATCTTTAGTAAAAAATCTCATTATCTGGATATAGATGAGAGAAAGTTTGTTTAAATATTTATATGTTAATGAGAAATAATAAAATTATAGTAATTTAAATTAAATTATTTTTAATTCACATACATAATAAAAAATTATATGCATTTTATACACCCCACATAGAAATCAGTATTTAAATAATATATAATAAATATTGCCTAATTATCATTATTATTAATTAACTATTTGTTATATTTAAACATTCTAAATACCATATATGATGTAAATGGTAATAAACATAATATAAATAAAGCTAATAATATTGATAATGAGTTTGATCACATTTTTGATAACATCAAACAGAGCGTCATTTATAATAATACAGAATTGTGGGTCCTTTTACAAGATATGTTGAAAGCATATGATCGTGTAAATGTTTTCACTCTTGCCGCTACTCTTGCAAGATTACGCCTTTCTGCTAATTTCACTCACACAATTTTAAGATTATTTCTTCTCAGATTCAACCAAGTTTTCACTGCTCTGAAAATTCTGATACATACTTGGTACATTCAGGAATAGATCAAGGCGAAGTCATATCATTACTATTGTGATATATATACTATGATCTACTTTATACGCTATCAATAATTCTTCACATAGTTTCATTACAGAAGTCGAATAGCAACCTAATGCCTGTCTTCCTGTTTCTAATATTTCTCACTTAAAAATTTCAGCCCTCGCTTACATGGATGACACCCTCTGGCTCGCTAAATCCAGGGAGGACCTTATAAATATTACGTCTATTGCAAATAGTTTCTTCGCTTTTAACGACATACAAGTTAATTAGTCAAAATCAGAACTCCTGATCAGCACTTCTCAACAGCGTCCCTTCAATATCAGTCATGATAATATCACATGGTCAATCAATGCTCTTTCTCCAAAAGCTAGTATCTGATACTTAGGTGTTTGGATCTCACTCAAGTCCAACAAAAATTTTATTTACAATCAGATACACAACGAAATCAAGAAGGCTGTTACCATTATAAAGCATAAATGCCTTACAAATTTACAGTTAATTTATATTTTTAACACCGTTCTCCTTTTGAGAATTGAATACAGGTCAACTTACTCTACCGTTCAAATTACAATGCAAAAGCTTTGTCGCTACTTACTTAACCTTTGTAAAAAGAAAATTAAAACTTTTTAGACATACTCCAACAGACCTATTTCACTCACATTATTTTAACAATTTAACGTCGCTATATCAACAACTAATCCAAAACTTCAGTAATACTCTTCTGCAAATGTCCAATGAAATGAATATACTTGAAAGGTCCTTTTATCTACGTATCCTTCAACTCTAACAAAAGGAATGGCTCTTTGATAATCCTCTTGTCTATTAGCCTTTTTTGAAAATAACACGAGCCGATGATTGGCTCCCCTCCCTCCTTTGTGATCTTAACTCAATGAAGCTCAAACTTAATGTACCTCTAGCTTTGTCAAATAGAATCTTAGGAGAGGACTCCCCGATTTCTGAATTTATACTCAACAGTTACAGGAAGCATGCTTCTGGTTTACGAAAATTCTCGCTTCTTTTTATGGAGCAACTTACTAACTATCAAGGAAATTACATGTTCATCTTTCGTGATCTGTATACTATCATACATCCAATTACCCATAGTTTTCAAACTCCAAATTGATATAAAGCCTTAGAACTTTATCTCAATCCTGATTAAGACAGAAGATTATCATCCACAAATAATTTCAAACACAAATACTGTTATGATTACTCCATCATATGACCTACCTATTCTTATTATACTTCTGAGTTTGCAATCAGTTAGCATTTTCAATTCAATTATTTTGTTCTAGGACGAATTATACGAATTGATCGAGATACAGTACATCTAATGCATCACATACTTTCAATTGGACCTGATAATATAAAAATCCTTAATCCTTGTGTTCATTGCCAAGTTCACCAGAAATCTACTATTAAATTTAGAGGCCGTTATAATAATTGTTATTTTACATTACTCCTTTACCTATATGTAAAGATTCTAATCTCCTTAAAAAAATGATTGTATTGATTAAACTCACAGTGTTCTGTCTAACAGTGCATTATATGAGCTCACTTTAACCTGTTTTTTGGAAATCAATAATCAAAGTCTTTTTATAGTCCTAAGAAATTTTACTTCACCAGCCTTTGTTAATTTTTTCGACAAATATTTGTCACCTCCGTATAATTCTCAATTATTAACTTTATCTCACTCTTTTCTATCATCTTCTGTTTTAGAATTTTATACAGATAGATCCTTATAAGATTTAGGTCTTCCTTCGATAAAAATAGGTATAGTCTGACTTCAAACTAAAGCTCTGAATGGTTTGGATTAATCCGAAAATTTTCAGTTCAGATTAACTTCAGTTTGGTTTCGGATTGCAAAATATTCAATCCGAAAATTTTCAGTTCAGTTCAGATTTTTTTCAGATTATAAATCTAATCTGAACTAAAAAAAATCTGAACTGAACTGAAAATTTTGGATTAATCCGAAATTTCAGATCATTTGGAACGATTAAATTATCGTTTCAAAAGAAAAATAAAAGAATCGTTTATTTGGAACGATTGAAGTTATCGTTCTAAACAAACGATAAGAAAATCGTTCTATTGGAATGATTAAAGTTATCATTCCAAACGAACGATAAGAAAATCGTTCTATTGGAATGATTGAAGTTATCATTCTAAACGAACGATAAGAAAATCATTCAATTGGAATGATAAAATTATCATTTCAAACGAATGATAAA